GAGAATATGTGTAAAGAAGCAGGATATAAAAGGTACTGTCCTTGTGTTAAACCCGTAAGAGAAAAAGCATTTGAGCTCCATACTGTTTCAGAAATAATCCTTGAAGTGGTTTGGAACATGATATGGCGTTTAATCACGGCAGCATTTATCTGTATCTCGTAGAATTCTGAGTAGGTACAAGCTCCCCTTCCTCTTTTTTTTTTTCAAGCTAAGGAACCAAAATCAGTGTTTCACTAACAGGGCTGGAATAGACGGATATGAGGGATGTCAAAAATTCATGATCTGTTAGGTATTTTGAGCAAAACACATCACAGACATGTTGCCTAAAATATGCCTAAAAATTGCATAATAGGAGACTTTTTAAACAGAAATCTACTATTTTAATAAAATCTGTGATGATGTTTTAGTTATCGCAACAACTAAAATCAGCTCAGGTGCAGCAGGAACACATGTCACTTACTCGTCATATTTAATGTGGTACAATACATCCTCTTCTTTCTCCTTGGTCTCTGAAGCTGCTGTAGAGTCTGTCTGCGAGGTGGAGGCTCCGTTACTCTCAGAGTTTAGCTCAACATTATTCCTGTTACTGTCTGTGGTTTGGCCCTGGCCGTGGGCCTGCTCGGCCTCCAGCTTTCCATTAGTCCTTTTTGGGGGCCGGCCCACCTTGCCCTTGGTGGGCGGTATCTGTCCTTTAGGAGTCCATGTCACGTTTTCGACGCAGGCCTCAAACCAGGCACCGATGCTGACGTCTCTACAGTCCACCAGCTCGTGAAACTGAGAAGATACAAAGACAAAAATAACACCTGGCCTCTTGATCTTCTCTGTCTGCTGTTTGAACAAACACGCCATGTATCAGCCCATTTGCTACACACCATTAAAGTAGCTTTACAGAGAGTATCAGTTGTAAAGAAAATGTTTTCCTACCCCTGGGAAGTCAAAGAACTCATTAAAATACTCTGGGTAGGAAAAGTTATGGGCAATTTATAGTAAAAAAAAAAGTGATACATGCAAACAACATTTTGCATTTATTCTTGTATTAGCTCTCTGCATTACATTTCTTCTACTTTTTAGAAATAGATGTAACCCCTAGCATCATTTAGCTATATTCTGCTTTGGGAAAACTAAATCAAATATAGCAGATTCTGTGGTGAATGTTTAAAGACTGTAAAAGGCATTTGACCTTGATATCTAGTGAAGCTGCACAATTTAAATATCATCTACTTAGTTACAGTATTGATCTCCCTGCATGCAGAATTGAACTTTTGGCATCCATCAAAAGAGTCCCACTCATATCATTCTCAGACATGTGGGTCAGCCAACCAGCAGAGCTCAGAACACATTAGAGTACACTCACAATGGTATGGGTTTTGACTGCAGTCTATTTATAATCTGTAAATTGGTTAGTGACAGGGTTGTAAAGATCTGATTCTTATGTGTAGCTTGGCCTGTGCCTCTCTGGTAAAGTTGGCCACATGCTTGTGTGAGAGGGTGAGACAGAGCAGTTAAACAATGAGAATGAATGATTAATTTGGATAAAATACATCTAAATATCTAAGCTACAACACAAGACAGTGGGGAAAGGAATATAGGACTGCTTAGTAATTTAAAATAGAAGAAATTGCCAAGTACACATGGGAAAATAAAAATCATGGTGGAATTGTTCCTTCATCATTTTTGCTAAGAAACTGCTGTAAAATAATAAAGTATTCAACCTACTGTAGAAGCATGCACACTACTTGTTTCATGCAAGCTAAATTACACAACTAAACATATACTTTCTGTAACATCTCATTTATAAATTATGCAAGCGATTTACAGGGTGGTTTTGGAGTTTTAAACCACATTGGAGCATTAAGATAAATAAAAAGTGCCCAGCCCAAGAAACTCTGGCATTGATTTGCCCAAATGCTCTGTAATTTAGCTAAAAGTCCAGCCAGTACCATGTAAAGCCTTGCAAATACATCAGGAAAAGTAACCCTCTCATCCTCACCTTGTACACACCGATTCCCGGGTCCACTAGTGTGTTTCTGCTGGATGTGGGGGGCTGATTGTACCATGCTGGACTGGGGGTCTTGAACACACTTTTGGTACAGGCTGAGTGACTGGTAGCGCTGGTGTCCGGCTTGGTTTCGTTAACAGTGCCGGTAGTGACGCTGCTGCGGTCATTGTCTATAGCGGGGGAGGTTTCCATAGCAGCGGGGGAGCCGGGAGCAGGGGAGTTGTGGCTTTCCGACCTGCAGTCAGTGGGGGGGGCTGAACTACAGGCCATTCCGGAGGAGTCCTTGGTGGCGGGGCTGTCCGGAGGGTCGGTCTGCGAGCGGATCAGCAGCTGCACGATGTCATTCAGTCCCACGTTATAGTCATACAGGGTATGGCCATCTTCCATCTAAAAAGATACAACATTAAAAAGTCACTGACATGCTTGAATAGATGCCACTTTACAGATGCTAAAAATTCATATTTGTATATCGCGCTGCAACACAATTATTTTTAACAGTCAGTCTTGAAAAGGCATGTTTTCTTTCTAGTCAGTAAACCCAATAAGAATTACATTTAATGTATACACATATATTTAAAAAATAATCCAATACATTTAAAAAGCTATGACTAAACATGTTTTGTCCTTTGTTTTTTTTTATGAACAAAAAATGATTCATCAAATCTTCAGTCAACTAGTTGTTGCAGCACAAATAATGATATCTTAAGCTTGCCCATCGATGTGTATGTGGACAATGACATAAATGTCCATGAAGACATATTTCATTAAATATTGTACCACAATTCTTTCCAAATAGGCATCTATGTGGTATGAAACGAAAACTGTGCCACAGAGCGCCCTCAGACAAATACACTCGGCTGCTTGTCAAGGACAAACAAATAACGAAAAAGACGGAAGACAACATTGAGCATAGTGAGAGAATACAATTATGTATTGTTACTGCACTCAACAGCTACAGAGCACATCAAAATATACACACACAGCACTTTAAATACACCAGTGGTTGAGGACGATGCTAAGGAGTTTACTGCAAAACATCTGCTCTCTGCTTTAAATGGCCCGATGGTTTCCTAGTAGCCAATAAATATATGTACCATGAACTGATTTGTGTATGTATATAAGGGGGTAAACAATGGCAAAATATGCACTTATGACTGGTAAGCCGTTACTTGGCATTACTGATTTGCCACGTTTGTATTAGTTTACATATCCAGTCCAATAGACATGGATTGCAAACCGCCGCTCCGTTCGCATAAATCCCACATCGCTTTTCAGCAAGACGAAAAAAAAAAAGAAATAAAAGAAACGAATGCATGAATTAAAGTGATGAGAGATGTAGCTGGGGGGGGAAGAAATGAACTGGGTTGCTATGACAACCAAAAGAGAGCACCCCCACCCCCATTAACCTGAATCATGTATACAAACTCTGTCGACACCAACCCACCATCATCATCAGCGCCCTTTTCAGGCAGTGCGGCGTGTATGGGCATCAGAAAAATGGTTCTCTCGACAAAATCCTCTCTGGAAGATACGCTGAGGGCCCGTTAGAAACCCGTTTTTTACCACAACCAATCTACTGCTAAGTATACAGTACAGCTACTGCCTTAGGAATGGAGCTTATGGCAAGCAAGCCAACTCATTATAGACATCAGCTATTCATTTCAGCCCTCAACCCCACAAGCCCATTGTACGGGAGAGACGAGCATGGCCGCCACTCGCGCTCCCCTTCTCCTCTTCGTTATTTGACAGCAAGCAGGAGAGGGAGCAAGCGCAACGTCCCCATCCCTCCCTGTTTTTAATTGTCTCATGAAATTTAGATCAGAGGAGCACTGGTGCAAACACAGTGATTGCTATACTCACCTGTCTATCTGTTATTATAGGGTACTCTATCTCAGCATTTCTTTGTCTGTCCCCCTGCCTAACCTCCATCTTCGATTTGGTCTAAGTAATTGTCTATCCTCCTCTGTGTTTTGCTTGCTAATACTGCATCAAGAAAAACCATACGATTGTTGGTAGGACCTGCAGCAGGAAGCCTTGCTGGTGAGAAGTACTTGGTACGCAGACAGATTTTAGTATTAGAAAGATGCGGTTGAATTTCATGCACCGCAGCAAATCTCACAATTGATATCTAAGCTGTAGCCGCTTTCCACAGCGCCTTCATTGTGCGATCAGCCTCTCACTGCGAGGTGCAACAGCCCTGACATTAGTAACCAGCTGAAAAATCCTTCAAACAAAGAACCGCCATGCAAACAGGCAATGTCAGACATGTTTTTTCTGTTTTCATGGAGGTCAAGATCTCTTTGACAGAAATATTAGCTTACTCTCGAGCGAGTAGGACGAATAACATCATCAAGGATATGAAATTTTCTCCTACATCATAAATAATAAAGAAAACACATTATGGAATCTCTCTTATGTGATTGTGTTTCAGAGGGAGACTTTAGTTAACAGACCACGTCATAACAAAGCTTTAGACAAACCAGAGACTGTTAATATAAATTACTCAAAACGCAAGAACAAATCACAGTCGGAATTCCTTGGCATGGTAACGGTGTGAATGCTTCCATGTCTACGTATGTGTGTATAACATTGTTCAGTAGATAAAATGAAGACCTCTGTACTAATTTCAGTTTCGACAGGAAGTCTTTCTAACACTAATTTTTAGTATTGTAAGAGGAACAAAAGTACAGAGTCCGAAAGAATGTCAATCAATGACAAGAGATACTGCATAGAGACTGAAAAAACATCTTAGACATGCAGGCCGAAACATTTTCTACCTATTCTATACAAATATCAGTCATGAAACAAATGTGTTCTGACATTATGATAAAACTACAGACAATAATAACTATCATAGAGCAGAAACCGTGGGTGGGGTAAACCCCTTACTCCGACACGATTTCTTCTTCTCCGCCCACAGGCAGTCTTAGCAAAGAACTGAGCAAAATAGGTCAGATTTCCAAAAACAATGACACGGGGTGTGTCTGTGCGCCTGCATTACCGAGCGCCCATGTTCCATCTTTTATCCCTCACTCTGCTGCTCAGTCGTTCAATTTTAAACCAACATTTTCCACTGATAATTAGCACATTTAACCGAAAGGGGACTTGCTTGTTATTCGTTTGCTGCTGTTTTGATAACTTTATGTTAGTTCCCACAACACCCTACTGTGCAAAAAATAAGCATTTGGTCAATTTGTCACCTTCAAAATACATTCAAGGTCCCATGGTCATATACCACTCTACTACTGTACGACAAAGTAGATGTAATACAAATCACAGTATTTCCCTCCAATACATGATTAATTGTCATTAGGAAGGGAGAATGTAGAAATAAATACTATTTACTATAAGCGTAAACTTGCAGTATTCAAGTATATGTGACCAATATTTGTAGTTTATACCTACATGTATGAATATTGATTAAAAACATTACTAAAGTAAACAACTCTCTTCATTATCATAAAATAGCATGTTGTATATTAAACTGTTTATTCACGATGCACGTGTAGGCGCTAACATTTTGCATGTAGGCCATTTGACCTCCAGGCAAGCTAGAGCTACTATTAGGAGTGAAGTAAACTATGAAAACATGGGGGAGTGTTAGAAAGCATGCAGTTGTACTCTAGATGTAGTGCCTCTCTTTGTCTCTGCTCTTTGTCCAGCCTATCTGTCGAAGAAGGGTGTGACTGGGTGTACATGCATGGCTGCAGCCAACTCCGTTTCCCCTGAAATTCTACCGCTTGGCAATGTCCAAAGAAAAGCCATCAATCGAGGAGCCACAACATCAATGCATGTATAATCAAATTGTAACTATATATCTAGGTCACTAGCCAATAAAGCTTTCGTACAGCCCAACAATAAGCAACAGCAAACAGTGGAGGACAGCCCAACCATTTAAACGTGAAACATGTTGCTGCCTCGAAAGAAGAAAGTGAACAGCCTCATATTTGAAGCACACAGACGCAATACAATCTGAGCTTCAAATAAGCTAATAAACAGGTAAAGGCTTCTTTATTTTTTATTAGTAAAGAAGTCTTCTGAAAAAGTGAGTGCAGGGGTGTAGCAGAAAGGCTGCATGGACAGTGGAAGGTGTGTGTTAGTCTGGCTGTGAACAACAAGACACGTTGCTCAATGTGAAATAGAGACATGAGGAGTTGACAGAAAAACTGCAAAACCAGTCAAAAAAACTAAAAACAAACACTGGGGCCAAGTTGTGCGGCTGCTGGCTCGAGACACTTCCGAGTCAAGGGCAAGCATGACTTTGAACCAGAGAGGCAGCGTGAGCAGTGAGCTGGGGGGAAAAACAAGACGCCATTTTGGAAAGGAATTAGAGTTATTCTGCTAGAAGTCCAAATCCCAACATGCATGTAAGGGCACTAGCTAGAACACGCTGCGTGTCGCTGCCTCATTTGATGCATTACTTAAAGTATGGAATTCCCCTAATCAACCCTCCCCACTTTCTTTCAAGTGAAGTGAAGGATTTACTACACAGGCCTGGCCTTTGCAACCACAGCTCCAACAGATCACTACAACTCAAGTGGTACAGATAATTAGTTGCTAATAGATCAAATAAGAACATGAACTGCATTGTGGCTTCTGCTGTGCTACAATCTTGCTTTGTCACTGTGGTGTATTTAACTTGCACAAGGGTTTTGTTGAAGGATATTGGTCATAACTGCCTATATTTGTACGAGTTTATGAGTAAAAATGCATCTGGGGGCACTGGTCCAAAAAGATATACAATATCTCTTTCATAATAATGGTTTGCCAAGTGAACCATTGTTTGACAAAAAGCATGTGCTGTAGCCAACAGATATAAATATAAAAGCATTCTATGGATTACAATCTCTCAAACAGTTCATGAAGCATTTTTCTAATATCCATCCTGCAGTGGATCCTGCTCACAAACAAACAAACAAAATCTACCTAAGTGGCCTGTACTAGGATTTAGAGTTAATTAATTACCTAACAGGAAGTAGGTTAGACAACTCGAACATGCAGAAAGTCATTTATAAAGGAATTGTTTGCCCTACATTTCTGCCTGGCACATATGAATGAAGGAGAGTGTGACTAAATGTAAACAATGTAAGACACCAACACACCATGTGGGCTTCCTGGGGGCTTATCTTATCTGCCTCGCTGACTCATGTTGAGTTATCAGTTTTGTAATGTTATTCCTAAATAAATCGTGTCCCCAGTTTCCTGTCAGAAGTGAGCATATCCTGCGTATTACTGATAGAATAACAGCTGGTACCTTGAACACAACATACACATTAGGATGCAGGGTGTCTTTCTGTGTTTTATATAATGTTCTTATGTTAACATATTTGGAACAAACTAGAAATTATCTGAATAATAGGATGTCAAATCACATTAATGTTGAATCTGCAATGATTTTTCAGAGTCTAACAACTAAAATCCGACAGAAATTTTGATTGATATGATAAGCAAAGACAATATGATCGTATATCATACAAGTGTTGGGTGGGTGATTTGGACAAAAATCAGTATTTTACAGTCTAATTATTGCAGCATTGCAGTGATATAAAAATAAATATTTTAAATATTGTCTACCATTTACAACAGTATTAAAACAAGTGTGTTAAAAGGTCAATCCCGCTCTGTTCCAGAAACAATATTACCAGTATTTGTTATTAATTGTCTAAGATCTCATGCTGTGGCAAAACATCTAAATCTATCACAACTAAATCACAATACCTTTAAGGAATGTTCCATGATACACATATATAAGGGATAAAGTGCTTAGAAACATAGGTTCAGTATACGCTCATTTCTAAAAGTCTGCATTACTGATGCAATTATACAGCTATGGAGTGTAGTAAACCAAAGCTACATTAAATAGTTGGTGGAGTGAGCAGATATCTAAAAAAAAATCACTTTCTTCCTCATTTTGCTGGAGATAAATGTGAAATAAAGAGATTCTTAATGGTTTGCAGGATTGCCCTATTGTTCAACAATGACTGATTACATTATCATTATGTTTAGAAAATGTAAGATTTACTGAAAAATAAAGCATAGCAATACAAATGAATGTGGTACTGAAGCAAGTCGTATTACTACAGAATGTGTATTATTGTATCATGTTTTACAGGTGACAGCTTTGTCCATCCTCACTGTACTGTGTGCATATTTTAGTGACGCCAGGGTGTAAACACAACTTCCTTTAGCTGTCAAGGCACGTGGAGCCACGAGTCCACTCCTCCCTCAAATTATCATTAACATCATCATAACACACCACATGCACGAGCCTGCTGGACCACTGAGTGCAGTTTAAAGCCACATATGAACAATACAAAACAGATTTAGAAAGGAGATTTTGAATCTGACACACGGTTAAAAAAAAGTGCTGCGGTATGGTGCATTATCTCCTTTGGTCTGCATGTGGAAACTGAGTGCGATGTTCTCTTTTCCCTCGCGTCGCAATGTAAACAAACATGTCTACGGTAGTGAGACATTTGTTGCACGCACTGCAAACCCAAACAATGGAGTACAGTGTGAAAATATGACCATGCATCCATGCAATGTTGCTGTTTTTCTCAGGGGCTGGCACGACGCGTACCTCAGGGTCTTGCGCAATAACTATTGGCGAATTCCTATCAAAACAGGAAGCTCGCATGGGTCCGAAAAATCGCTACAACACCAGAGACCACTCACTCTCCACAAGCACCAAAACATTCAAAACCGACTGTTGCATGACGGGTTGACACGGGGTTTGTGTTTACCTGCTTTCCTCGGTAGAACAGGCGCTGCTGCTGTGGGTTTACACTGAAAATCTCCTGTATTTTCAAACGTAAAGACTCAATTTTGGTCAATCTAGAAAGATCCTCAACGGTTCGCGTCTCCTTCCCGTCTATCGTGCGAACCTGGATCCACATTGTTGCACCGCCCTGTAACGCCTCAGATAAATAGGAGATAAAGCAATATTTTGGATACGAGTTTTGTTTTCCAGGGGTAGAGGGAGATAGAAAGGAAAGCGATCAGGGATCCATTGCGTTTTCCTCTGCAGAGGTAACGTCGGACTGGTTCGCGCTGGAGTCTCACATGAGGTCGCGGCGCCAAGCAAATCTCGCGAAACAACGTTTAAGCGATCACAGTGTGCAGTTAAAGGCGCAGCTCTCCATTTAATGTGCACAGAGGACAACATTCACAGTACAGAAGTGGTTGGAAGCTTACGAAGTTGCGTCTGAGAACAGTATATCAATTCACCTGTCATCAAAAATCATTATTTGATTAGTTATGTATTCCTGATTTATTCTTAGTTTTACTTAAAAAACACTTTTTTGCCTGACAGTTACTTTGCAAATATTCATAAAGAATTTGCACATAAAAAACATTGCTAAATCTAATAGGCTAACTATTGATCTAAATGTAATAATATAATAGGATCGGGGGCCATTCTGCTGAACTTTTCATACTTTACTGCCCCTCAAACATTTAGTAGATATAGCATATTTAAAAAACACCATCTATTAAATGTGTTCTAAGTATAACAATATAATTACATTTTTGCCATCCTGCTTTTTAACATGGCATAAAATAAAAGTGTCTACACTATATCTATTATTTAATTGATAACATATGAACCCGTTTAGCAGCATACTATGATCTTACTTTTACTGTGTAGCAAGTGACAAATTCATCATTGATCCAAAAAGGTCCTTATCTAGACTTTGACACACAGTCTTTAAAGGGGACCTATTATGAAAAATCCACTTGTTCATGTATTTTATACATAAACATGTGTCCCCTCTGTGTAAAGAGATTCTGAAAGTTTCAGGAAAAAATATTGGCTCTCTTTTTGTCCTGATCCATTTATATAAAAACCTATCTGAAAATGAGCTGATCAGATTTTGGCCACTTCATGATGTCATAACAATTTTTTGGCTTGTGTGACCATTAGCCAATAACCAACCAAGGTAACCCCCCCCTTATCATCTGAATCTCCTCCTAGAGCACGATTGTGTTATTTGTAACCAAATATCTCTCAGAGGGGCGTGGGTGGCTCCTTATTTTCATCTAAAGTAAAAGTCAGAGAATCAGCACTTTTGAAGCAGGGCTGAAACAGGATGCTGCAATGCATGATCTGTTTGTTATTTCGAGCAAAACACTTCAGAGACATGTTTTGTATATATCTGAGACCTATAATGTATTGATGAAAAGCAGTATAATAGGGGACCTTTAATGTCTAAAAGGCCTCAAGATCAGATCATGACTAGCGCAAAGTCCTATATTATGTTTTTTAGATGCCATTAATCAAATTACAAAGCACAAACTTCATAGTGACTCGAGGAGTTTGCTGACCCCTCGGAATATGGGGCCCATTTAGTCTGAATGGTAATCCAGTGATGGTTAAATATAACATAACACAACATATAACATTTTCCTACGGTGAAGTAATGATGAATTATAATCATACCCTTTACAAATATCTTGATTAAAAAGCCAATCCATACAATTCCGAAGAGTAAATAAAAAAACGTAGTCTGGAATATAAATCTTACTTTCCCAAAACACATGGCTAGTAAAATGCAGGTTGTGTCTATTTGACAGAAGTGGCTTGCATCTGTCTATGTTCCTTATCATATTATTACACACCACTGCAATGCACATCAGGCGAAAAAGCCTATAATCAAAGGAAAACCTCTTGCCCGGACTATTTCTCCTAGTTGAGCTAAAATCGCTGTAAAGCATATGCCTCTCGTGGCACAACTGCTTAATTAAGAATTTCCCCAGCTGGATACCTCTTCGATGGACCACAGGCAAATCCATTATTGTCAGTATAGGGGAGGATAATAGGTATTTTGCTCGCGTTGCATTTGCTGTATGTCCTATCTTTTATGGTAGGCCTAGTAATATTAAACGAATATGAGGTGCTAAATATATCTGAAAATACGGTTTTAAAAAATCAATCTGGTAACAAACAACTCTAATCCCCCACCTCATCCTACAGCAGTGAAGTTCTATTGAACAGGCAAAACATTATGTGGGAGTCTATTGCCCTGATGAAGGTTTCTCGGGTAGTCAATGTACTCAAGCGTTGTACACATTTTGCTTCCTGACGATTTGATTAACACACAGTAGTCCATAAATAGCTAAAACCATACAAAAACATGTTGTGGAGCTTTTGGGGGGCGATAAACAGTCTGGGGTCAAGAGCTACCTGAAAGTCTAAACAAAGGGCAGTTAAGCCCTTTAACGCCACTGCCTGTAGAACATTAGTGACTGGCGACATCTAGCGGTTAAAAGTAAGTCATGCGGGACACTGTACATTCAGGAGTTCACAGTGTGTCTTATTTAACTAACTGAAAGGCTATCCATTAATACAAATACGTTGACATTATGATGCTGCTTCCTTGCTGTTTTGCTGCCTATCGATATTGAGGCATTTTATAAATAAGTTCGGATGACAGCTGTGTCCAGATCCTCCTCTTTCAGTTAGTTCAACGAGAGAACAAATCACAATAGGTGTGTGTAATAATACAACGTAAAGCGAATGAGTGTGTATGTGTGTGTCAGCAAGGACCCTAAAACAAAACTAACAATTTAATATGACACTGGACCATTTAGATAACGTGAGGAAGGCAGCGCACATTTGCATTGGGCGCACGAAGAGTGGAAGTGGAGTGGACGGGGTCTTCAGGCAAATCAGACAGGCAGTTAGTGGGATACATGCTTCTCATAAAGCCAACAGGATTTAGAATATTTCTGACACATGACGCAAATGTGTCTCTAAAGTAAAACCAGATGTTCTTACTTGTTTGAAAGTCACTGTTAACTTACAAACCTAGCTTGTTAGCTGGACAGCTAGTGATAATGAAGAGTCGGACAATCAGCTAGTGTTACACCGGCTAATGCTGCTTTAGCCATCTTCCTGTCACTGACATCACTCCTTACGCTGACGATATGAGATGTGTGCATAACTTTTTATCTGATGGACATGTTATTGCTACCCGTTTTTCATTATGGACAGCGATCTCAGCAATTGCAGGCCCCAGATTGGAGACAATGGCAAGCTAACCTGGCTAGCAAGTTGCCTTTGCTGCTAAGCTTGCTAAAAGCTGGTGCGTGTCTGCAGCCGCACTAGAAACGTCGAGGTATGTTATTTAACCAGCCAAGCTCTGCCTGTGGTCTGTTTGTTTTGGTCATTATCTACACGTGACAGCACATGCTAAGGGAGTTCGCTGTATATTTTCCTATTAGTAAGCAGCACAAAGTTTGTTTACTTATTGTTGTGTTAACTATCGTTAGCTAGCTCGCTAATAGCTAACTCCAAGCTAGCTAGCAAATGATCCGGGGAAAATAAAAAGTTTGAAAACATCAGGCAGATGGATAAAGTTAGTATAACTGCTAGATATGTTAAACTATCCAATTGTGAAAACATTTCAGTGTTCAGGGCATCAAGTGTTTAATAGTGTCAGGATAAAATGACAGGATATGTAATGTCAGCAAACTTAGCCTAGCAATTGGTAATTTTAGGTAGGAAAGCCTCATCTTGCTCTCATTTCTTCTTGATCTCTCAAAAATAAATGATAAGTAAGCACCGTTTTTTTGTTTTGATTTATTTTTGCCTTCGTGTCAAAACTGTGTTTGAGTGTTATTTGCATCCATGTTCACCATATGTGACACCTGTTACCCACTGCAGGTGTCTTCACCATGAATCAGGTGGATATGACAGACCAAATCACAGCAGCTTGTAGTCAACCGTTGTTTCCCAACCAAGACCAGGCTATGGCCGGCCAAGAATCATTCCCCCAGCAGCCCTACTCCAACATAATGTCTTCACAATCCAAATGGGTGAGCAACAGCAGAACTGAAGACACTGACCTGATCATAACTGAGGATCTGCTCAGTTATGGCACCTGTGAGATTGAGACAATGGTAGCATTACACTGTCCTGGCGAGAGTGAAGATGTCATTGTTGAGGGTGACCACCTTGCACTGAGCAATGATGGCATTACAGAGATTTCTAACAGTGACCTATCTCTGCCTGAGGTCTGCATTTCTACCAACAGCAATAGCTTTGAGGAGGATATGAACTATGAGGTGCAGCAAGCATATCGGATATTTAATGGCTTTCTCTTGGACAAGCACAAAGGGATCACCAGCCCGTTCCTCCAGCCAATAGGCCAGCAGGAAACCCAGCATGGTATTGGAGGCGTCCGGGGCTGGAGTCAGGCACAGCTCAGGCAGTTGATGTGCTTGCGAAGGATGGAGGAGAAGTTTATCAACCAAGAGTATGAGACCATTACACAGTTTGTTGCAGACTTTAGGCTGATGTTGGAGAACTGTTACCGTTACCATGGGGTGGACCACTGGATATCCAAACAGGCTCAAAAGCTGGAAATCATGCTGGAGCAGAAGCTTACATTGCTATCTAGGTAAACATAATTTAAATACACTGTCTAGCCAATGTATTAGTTGGCAAATGTTTAAACCCACTATACTGCTATCGTGTATTTTATATGTCACATGCATAATAAGTTAGTGTTGCAAGGCAATAAATGTTTCTCTGTCAAGGATAGCCCTCAAACATTTTCTAAATAGCGTATTTAAAAAATGACATTTATTAAATGTGTTCTAAATATAATGGTAAATGGACTGTACTTATATAGCGCTTTATCCAGTCTTTAAGACCCCTCAAAGCGCTTTACATACTACATGTCATTCACCCATTCACACCCATTCATACAGAGCAGTGTACCTTACTCTAGGACCTAACATTCACACACATTCACACACCGTTGGCCATGCCATCGGGAGCAACTCAGGGTTAAGTATCTTGCCCAAGGATACATCGACATGTTGACTGCATGGGCTGGGATCGAACCCACAACCTTCTGGTTGAAAGACGACCACACTCCCTCACAGCCACAGTCGCCCTATTATAACAGTATAATTACATTTTTTCCGTCCTGTATTTCATCATGGCATAAAATAAAAGTGTCTACACTATATATATTGTTTATTGATAACATATGAGCCTGTTTAGCAGCATACTATGATCTTACAATAATGGTTCTCAAAAGCATGTTTTAAAAAGGTAAACAAATGTATGCATTTTAAACAACTCTTGTTAAATTGCATGGCTGCTAGGTTACAGTGGTGTAGATATACTGTCTTTTTATTTCAAACAATACTGTAAAACAGATTTGTTTTCTCTATTTCTGTCATTCCAGGACACTGCGAGAGAAGACTACTTTGGCAGTGACGTCTAAAGGACTTTTTGGTGCAGAGGAGGAACGAAGTTCAGGTGGCACCTCCACGAGGAGGAGGCTGGCGCCTCGTAGCCTGGCTACCATCATTGTTGGTGGACATGAGTCTGTCATGGTTCAGGCCCTACGGATGGAAGAACAACAGAAGGCCAAGGAAGAGAAGAGGTGAGTGAATATTTGATAGAGAAAAAAAAAAGATGCTGTCGTAAACCCACTAACAATATACATATTTTGTCTTACTTTTCAGGCAACGTGAGCTTGAGAAGAAAGAAGCAGAGGAAATGTCAGCCAAAGAGGTGGAAGAGTGGGAGCAGAATTTGCTGTCTCAGGCTTCCCCCCACACTGTGGACACACTTTGGGAAATCCCTGCTATAGGGCACTTCCTCTGTCTGGCTCAGTCTGCACTTAACCTCCCAGAGATTGTATTTTTTGATCTGGAGCGTAGTTTGCTAATGCCCCGATGCAGCCTTCTTCTCTCCAAAATCATGTCTTCCCTGCTGTCCCCAGCCCAGCGAAGGGCCACTCTGCACCGCCGGCCTGTACTGCCTTACCGTCGCTGGGAGTCAGAGCTCAGGCAGCGGGTCATGGGCTGGTATCGGTCTGTCGGAGCCTCCCATAATCAGCCAGGTCGGGCTGAGCAGCTGGGACTCTGCTACACATTTTTCAGTACCCTTGGAGATGTGAGTCCTATGGAAGAGAAACCCTTTCACTTACTGCCCTTCTACCAGAGAGTATGGCTTCTGAAGGGGCTGTGTGATCATGTGTATGAGACACAGAAACATGTGCAGGATGCTCTCCTGGCCCAGCCAATCCATGAATGTAGGGAGTCTATTTTGGGATATGACAGCAAGGACAATGCCTATATACATTTCCCACATTTCTGTGGGGCAGACCTGAGGATATACCGCCAGAGCCCCAGCACAACCCCAGTGTCCCCTTTCCCTTCTGTGTGGGTCAAAAGGGTTGATATAGAGCAAGGGACGGAGGGTGAAGAGTCAGATGGAATGAAAGAAGAGGGGGTTACAGGTGGCGGTGGGTGTTATGAAGGCTCAATGGACACAGGAGAGTCTGATGACTTTGGAAAGGGGAGAGCAGAGACACTCAGGGGTTTAAAAGAGGAAAATGGGGATGGAAAGGAAGATAACATATTTCAATCCTGGTCATTGAAGAAGAAAGAGGAGGGGTCTGACTCAGTGTCCTCTGACGAAAACTCCTGTGAAGATAAATTGGACTTTAAAAAACACATTAATTCCTTAACACTTTCACACACAAGTCCTATTGGTGGAAGTGATGCGGGAATACATTTGAATACAGAGACTGTAGAGCTAGAACATCAAGCCAAGCAACGGATATTAAAACAGGAGCAGGGCCTCTCATTGGGCTCAATGCGCACCATTAAGGCAGAGATACAGGAGCCCTGTCTGAATGTAGGGGAGCACAGCTACACAGGCAGGTCACCTGCTCGCTTGGTGAATTTTGCCTCCCCTATGAAACCAATCAAAAGGGGAGGAGGAAGTCCCAGTCAGGGGCAGCAAAGGTCTTCCTGTCTGGATTGCTGTAAAAGCAAAACTAGTAATGTTGAATCTAAGGAGCACGACTGTAGCTGTGGCACATCAGGGATAGCAACACAGTTGTCTTCTGAGAGTTCTCAAAATTCAAGTGATGAGAGGGTGAATGAAAAAATCTGGCCTAAGAACAGAAAGCGAAAGAAAAGGCGAGGGAGGGAACAGCTGCCAAGGGTGAAAGGGGAGCACAAGCAGCTGCAGCCTGTGGACAGGATGTCCCGAGCAGAGACTACCAAGTCTGCGGTGCGGAAAGTTGCCACAACGATCAATAGAAAAGACAGGAAGAGAAAACATAAAACAGGTGAGGAATAAAATGCACACTTCCTTCATTTAATTTAATATTTAGTTTATGTTTTGGAATAATAACTTGTTGGTTCAGTGTTTATATCTGCTATCTTGTTGACAGTAAAAAAGCTGGAATCTTCAATGAAAATTAAAGATGAACCTTCAGTTGAGCCATCATTTAAGGTAGTAGCACTGAAATATACTCTTATTTCTTTAGGAATGTATTTTGAATGCTATATTTATTGAGTTCACATTAACAATCACATTTTATAACCAGTAACACTCCTGTCCTTTTTTTAATAGATTTTCTTATGCAATCATGTTATTTCTCTTCTGCAGTTGGTATGCTGCAGTCTTGAGGGGCTGCGAGTGCTGATCAGTAAGACAGAAGATGAGCTTGATGATCTGGAGAGCACCAAAAAGAGATTGGTAAGGGGCATTCTAAGTTTTGCAAAGAGACTCACTTGCTCGAGAGCCTTTTGCTTTTGGTGGAGAATACAATGCAGTCGAACCTTTGCTCATATCTAATCCTGGTGACTTTAATAAAGTTTCGTCTGCATGTTTGGACTGACAGGGTCGGTGGTACCACAGGAGAGAAGCAGTAAAAGACCTCCACAGCACTCTAATCAGACTACTGAATGAGCTTTCACTCTGGGAACCCAAACTTGTAAAAGCCTTCCAAAGGAACAGGTATAACTTATTTGACATTTTAAGGGGACCACCACAGCCACATACTCGTATCATGTCGCACATAGTGTTAGAAAGATAATACAAAGTTCACTCTCCATAAAAAGCCTACATGCACAGTATCTCAGCCTTTCTTCTGAAATGTATAAATATACAACTGAATTTTACATTAAAGAACATTTATAACCAAAATGAACAAGGATCACATTTTTGTTTAAAAAGCTCTTTGTGTCTTTGAATGATTGCTGGACTGAGATAAAACCTTGCTCTATCTTTTTCTTCTCTTGGTTCTACATCAGGCTTCGTTTGAAAAAGGAATGTGATGATTTCAAGAAGCACCCAGAATACAATAACTTTGTGCGTGAGGAGTGCATTTCATCATCATCATCAGATGAGGATGATGAGGATGATGAAGAGAGCGGTTTGGGAAAGGAGTTGTGTTCACCCTTGGATAATTACAGAAAATCCGAAGACGAAGACCTGGAACATATGGTTCCAAGAGGTCTTTGGAGTGGAGGTAAAGTATTTAAATTGAATACTGTAATTGAAAAATGAGTTTTCCTTAAGGCTATAGTGGAACATTTCTGGTCTTATTATGCACACATAGATGGCTAATTAATCAATGCATCCCTAACAGATATCTTTATTATTTTTCCAGCCACTAACAGAGAGTTTGTGGCAGAGTCTGCTGGAGAAAAAATGATGACCTACTTACCCCCCAACCACCTAAAACCATCCCTTTCCAGCACAGAGAAACACATCAGTCCACTAACAAGAAGTTACAATCATTCAACCCCCGAATCTGGGAAACATTCTCGATTCGACCTGAGATCATCAAATCAATCCAAGGATTCCATCTCAACCCAGGCTCCACTATTACCCAGAACCCCCATCCTCCATCCCACCACTGGACTACCTAAGGGCTACACGCCTATCCCCACCCTGCTGGCTAAGAGTGTGGGAAACAAAGTGACCTTAATGAAACGGCCTGCTGATTTTACTACACAACTTTCAAAAGCACAATGTTCTCCATCCAGTTCGCGACAAATACAGATTCAAGGACTTAAACAAACAGAGGTACCAAGACAGCCAGGATTGGCTACAGTAATGGCAGCTCTTCCTAAATCACAGCAGGGGAAACCAACCCAGACTGTACAAAAGAATCCTGTCCAAGTTGTGTACACAGTACCTGACAGGCTGGGTCACCTTGTGAGGAAGGAGAGCCCAGTCAAGATCGCTGTTCATCCTGTCGTGGACCAGAACACTCGGGAGAAGATCATGCCGCAATTGGTGATTCTGCCTTCTAAGCTTCTCATTAACAACACTGAAGAAAATTTGTTTTCTAAGGGCGTTCAGGTCCCACTTTCTAAAGTGGCCAGCCCCTTCTGTATGTCTACCAATGTGCCTGGGTTCACTATTCCCGAAAACAAAATCCCTGTTCAGCAAGTGGCTCCCTTAAAATATGCCAGGACACCTTCTCCTTCCCCTCATCTAAACACAGCAGGGCTCAAGGGGATACAGTTTTGCAGCCCCCAAGCTAGCAAACCACAAAGTGTCATGCCAAACCCCTCACCAATCCCCACTCCTTCTAGTGCAGTTTCTACTGACCCTGATAAACCCGCTTACCCTAAACAGGAGCTTAAGACTGTATGTATCCGTGACTCGCAGTCCATCCTGGTTACAACTAGAGGAGGCAACACGGGCATCGTCAGGGTCCAGACCTCCTCAGACCAGAATGCTCTTGGTTCGTTGACCAACAGTCCAGTCATCACCATCTCACCCCAGTTTAAAGCCTTCCTCATATCCAAGACGTTACAGGCTCATTCTGCAGCATCTCAGACTTCCCCTTGCACCGTCCCAGCGTTGACAAATATACCAGTGGCCCCAAATCAGGAGCAGGTTCCTGCGTTCACTGGTGGCATTCCTGTTACACGTCCAGGAAGCCATACAGCAAGCACCACGGTTACAGGAAATCAAGGCCCCAACACATCAGTTGGTTTGATGAATTCAGCAAAGACACCTGCTCTTGGTTCTCATTTTCAAGCTTCATTAGGAAAAAACACAGTTGCTGTCTCATCATTGAGTAATTCTGGTGTTCCCCAAGTTCTCACACAAGCTGAGTTTAACAAGACGGGTTTGAAGAGGGCCAGTACAGAGGAGAGATCCCAAGTTACTAAATTCATTCTTGTTACTCCCTCTTCTTCCTCTAATTCAGCCTTATCAAAAGGTAAACCCTCTTTCCCCAAATCAATTCCTGGTTCAAGAGTCATGTTCATCAGCCAACCCACAGCGACATCATCCACAACCTCTATGGGAAGATTTCCAAAGCCGACAATAGCGCCAGGGGCGAGTGGACAGCTGCTGAGCACTTCATTATCAGGTCAGACTCTACAGATGGCATCGAGCACAGGCCAACCTGCGGTCAACTCAGAAGCTTTCAAGAACATCACTCTGCCCTCAGGTGGGTTGGTCTGAGTTGATGAACTGTTATTCTCATGTCTGCTCTATTTATTTTTGGGTTCAGTCAGTACATTTTTAAGCTGACACGATTAGTCAATAGAAGAAGATATTGGCAACATAATGTATCTTACAAATGTTAAAACCAATATACATTTTCTGATTCAAACCTCTTTTAGGTCGAACCAAACAAGTCATTTCAAGACAAAACATTTGTTATGTAGTTTTTACAATTATTATATATTATTATTATTTTGAAAATAATTGGAATATATTGTAAGAAATTGTTAGTTTCAGCCCTAGAAAATGCTGCAAGAATGGGACATTTTCTATTTAAACATATAGAAATCAAATAGCAGTTGGAGGAATGTAAAACCTTATTTTGTAAATTTGGTAAGACTATTGCCATACATTTAGCCCAATTGTCAGTGTTGAGCTACTCAAACAAATATCTCTTGTGTGTCTCCAGGTGTTCAAATCCAGTTGTCAGGGAAGACGACAACCATTGGACAGACAATAGGTGCCCTGTCGCGCTCTCCTACTAAGAGCACACCAGAAACAACCCGTCCATCAGCCACCACCACTGGTCTGGTCCCAGTTACAAGTTCAAATACCATCACAAGTTGTTCAGCTCAGCTTGCCCCTCAGGCGTCTCAGACCCCGAGCTCTAAGGGTATTTCGTCCTTCAACATGATCTCCCAACCATTCTCTTCCACATCTACTTCTACCACTCTGCCTGCAGGAAACATCAACAAGATGGCCGGTGGTATGCCAGCAGGTCGCTTGTTCAGCAACTCAACTGCTCAGGTAACTACTGCTGTGCAGAGTAACCTAGCTCAAACCTCCACATCCACACTTGTTCATCAGCATTCAAATATCCAAAGTGGCATTGGTCAAGAAATCACTTCCTTCTCACCTCCCCAAACAACCATCCCCTCAGCATCAACCACCAATACCCCGTTCACCACCTCCACTCCTGGCACAATCCAGCAGCGCATAGTCATCAACACCTCTAAGCCCCTTGCTGCCGGTACACAGATCCTCCTCAACAATGCACGTTTTGTAGTCCCACCCCAGGGTTTGGGCCCAGGCAGCCATGTCCTCATCATCTCTAACCCTGCACCACAAAAAGTGCCTACTGCCAGTGCCACCAGCACTGGAGCATCAGGTCCTGCCCAAGTGGCAAGTCATGTCACTGTAGCCCCTCGAGCACCAAGTTTACCCCAATGTCCCACCAGGCTGCTTGGTGTGCCAGCCGCGAGTTCTCCTTTTGTAGCATGCACACCTGCTGTTGGTCCATCGTTGCTAGCAAATACTTCAAATGTCCCGCCATGTCCGGGCTCCACGTGGTTACCCAGTAAAACAAAAGTAGTGTCTGCTCTGCCGAGGCTGCCAGCTGCACAGGTCTGTAACTTTGCTTCTCCACCTGGAGGCACACCCTCTCTTATGTCATCACCACCTAGGTTTGGCAGTTTACCAGCTCTAGTTTCCCCAGTGGTAACCAGTGCCCCTGCTCTCAGCTCAGCACTCACTACCTTCAGGTTAGCTGCTGGCACTCGTACACCAGCTGAATGTTCTACCATTTCACCTGCAGTAGCATCCCCCTTGTCAAGATTGTTTGCACCTCTATCATCATTGCCTGTTTTATCAAGCCCTTCAGCTGTTGCCCAGCCCAGCCCTGTCACACTGACCCTCTCCTCAGCAGGCGCCCCAGCTTTGCGTTCTTCTCTTCCTGCTCAGCAGGTGGTTTCAGCAACAACACCGGGCCCAGGCACACAGCCCCAGCAGATAGCAGTTGGAATTGCAGCCTACTCCACAGCTCCATCACAGGCTTTGCTGCACATGGGACTAGGCAACATAGCAGTCAAAAACATGGTGCCTGCAGTCATGCATCCAGTTCTTGCTGGCACACGGACACAGGTAGTGCCCACAGTGGCTGTCCCGCCAATTGTAAGTGCAGTTTCTAGGATGTAGACGCTGCCCATTGCTACAGTTAAACCCAACGTAAGCACTCTCAACACCTGTGAAACAGCGCCTGTGGTCACAGCGCTCTCCTCCAGAAGCACTGTAGTAAGCACTCCATCGCAACCAATCTCATCACTGAAGACAAACACCATCCTACCACCTTTCGTTTCGACCAATCAAGCACTTGAAAAGCGTACCAGTGTAGCATCCAAGCTACTCATTAGTCCTGATGGTGCTGTTTTGAACACAGTTCAGTGCCGGGTCAATCCAGTTGAGCTGACTGCCTTCCCCATACCGCTGGATGCACTGCTGGTTTCCCCCAACAATTCCACTGGAGCTCTACACACACAAGATTCCTCTTTACAACCTTCACACACAGACAGAAAGTGAACCGATAATCTCAGACTTTGACATCCATGTGAAGACTCAGATGCCACCTTTCAGATGCCTAGTTTTTCCAGGACTCATATCATCTTGTAGAAATCCTGGGGTTAGTTAAAAACTGCTGTCCTGCTGTAGTTTGACTTACATTTAGAATGTAGTAGGTTATACCCTCCGGTTAGATCATCTTATAGGTAAACGGTATGCTCAGACATACTGAACATATGTACTGTGATGGTTTTCATAAGTGAAAAATGGGGAGGTTGCCCTAAGATGAATGTTGGAGACTTTCCTTTTTCTTAACTTTATGGCCAGTAATGTTATAAAAGAGCAGGGTAGATGCAATGAAGTTCAACTCCGGTATTTGTAATACTTTTCAATGCCATAACATACTGCTTCAATAATGAATAATAGGATACTATTCACCGGTACAACTTGGCTTTACTTTATGTCTGTTTTACAATACGGATTGTTCAAATCCAGATTGTCATGTGGTCCTCTTTTCAACTACAATTTAGAAATATAAATAAAATAAACTAATAGATACATTTGTACTACATATAGTTGCACCCCATATACAATGTTTTAAATTCACAGTTATTTATTTTTACCACATAGATTTTTAAACAAATATTTACTAGTAGGTACATTTTCATTGAACAAATGTGGACGTTTCTGCATGGGAATAAACAATGCAACTGTCCCCAGCAAGTGTGTTTGAGCTGCTTCATTATAGACAGACTTGTGGAATCCTATATTTATTTATTTAATGAATCAACCTACAGTATATACAGTACATTGTGTTTGTTCATGGGAATAATTGTACAAAGTGAGGAATAGGATTGTTTCACATAATGGTACATTAAGCTACAAGGTATAAGGCACTCGAGTGACATAAAATGACATACTATCAGACTACGGATGAAGTTTAGAGTTTGTTGTCCAGTATTTTCCTTTCTTCTTCAGACATCTTTCCATCTTCTAGAAGTCCTTTTAGGGGGAATAGGGAGGGGGCATTGGCCCTGTAGACATCTTTTCGTAGGCTGGAGGAGCATTAGGAAGCTGAAATAGATTGGAACAAATACATCTGGATAAAACGGCTGTAAACAAAGTTTCCAAACACAGTCAAGGTAATATATTTCATTGAATCTCTATTAAGTTTTTAAGGATATTGAATATTTAAACCCATGTTTTATCTACACACATGGAATTCAGCACTGTTTGTTTAAACAACCTTGGGCTTTGTATCACATTAGATATTTCAGTATGATTACTCTTAGAACTGGTGACTTCTGCAGCATTGAAGGACATTGTGCTTTTCCAACTTCATCTCACATGTGAGGGTGCTGATCTGCCCCCCACCCCCTTCACTTTTCCCACACATGGATACACATACCTCCCTCGGGAATTAAACATTTGTAAGACCTACCCCTGGTCTGGTGACACAATAATCCCCCCTAAAGGCATTCATTACGTCAGCTTCATGTGTTTTACACTTTTGTACTAAACAAGTAGCCTGTGTCGAGGACTGTATACAGAGTTAAGGAATAGGAACTGTTGATTTAAAAGATTATAGCTATAATTAATATAGGCAAATGTAATTATACTGTATGTATCCAATTGTTGACTGTGTTACCAGTTTCCTGTGTTTGCAAATTCTTGATTTAGGTACTGTGATACAGGAAATTCAGTGATGGGGTAACTTCCTATGCCTCACCGCTAATTTGAAGCTACCAAAATCAGTTAGAGCCATCTTGTTATCTGCTGAAGTTCCTGCCTCTGAGAAATTGACTTCTGTCTGACGTGGAGACCCCAATCTAGGGCTCTGCAGGCAAGAGAAAGATTTATGAAAGTTATGAAAACAGATCAAAAAAATTAGGAAGGTGTGATATAGTGGGGGGAAATACAGTAAAGCAGAGTGGAAAGATATGGAAAAAAGGAACATGGATGTTTGAAAGAGGTATAAAGTGCAAAGACTGGTATTTCACAAATGGTCTCACCCTGATTATCTTGTAGCCACTCCTCTTCTTGAAGTACCAGCAGCCCATGATGAGGAGAGCTGCCAGGATGACCACCAGCAGAACTATACCCACTGCCCTGTTTTTCACAACCAAATTCAAACAGACATTTTCAGTTAATGGATTTATCTATTATATTGTCATATCAGTTTTATTATATTCACCACAATGTAACAATAGAAGAAGAGGAAGATCATAATGCAAAAAAGCTCCATGGAACACAGGCATTATTTTCTGAATACAAAAAAAAAGTTACACATACTCCTCAGCTCTGACAAATCCTCCCCTGCTGCTGGAAAAATAAATGTTGAAGTCTCCACGAGGCATTCCGTCTGAACAATTACGCGGCATTAAGCTGAAAATCAACAGAAAATTCCTTCATAAACTAACCAAGTATGGACTAATACTTTTTACACTTTAATAAGACATCATTATGTACACAAAGTTTTTTTTTAAAGTGTCTTTATAATAACAATTAATGCGAGACTATCATGTTAAGTCTGCTGTAATGAACAATTAAAATGCATTTGTCCAACACATTATTTTATCACCAGGTTGCATAACAATATGTAAGTCTAGACACACTTATTTACCATGAAACTGGGCATTGTTTATTTGTTGCCTTTACTATATTACCATTGTCTTCTCCCTAAGATGCAGCAATAGGAAATACTGTGAGGTCTGCAGGTCTCCCTTGAAAAAGAGATCTATGATCTCAATGGGACCAATCTGGTTAAATAAAGGTTTGAAATGAAATGAAATGTGAACATTTTGCCTGTCATATTAACTATTTTACCCCAAAACTTTGAAGGATCTCATATATCCTCAAGTATTCTTACTAGTAGCCTTTTAGGAAAATATTATCTGTGACTGCTTTCCTCACGCCACTGCCCGGACTCTCTGACTAATGCTTTAAACAAAAAAGTGAAAACATGATTTTTCTTTAGCGAATAACGAAAATTCACATTTAAATGTGTCGTGTTTCACAACTCAACTTAGGCTGTATGAAATATGTAACTTAAAGGCTGCAAATAAAAGCTTACATACGAATCAACAAGTTTTAATATGGATAATCTATCGATTATGCAACGTGGATCTCTTGATAGCACGAAGTGTCACTGTTATTCTGTTGGGGGACAGCATCACTTGTTTTAGAAGCAGTAAATGTTATAGTTTATTCAGAATTGATTTCAGAAAGTGTAAGGCAGCATCCAATGCATTTATCCCATACTAATTCAGGTCATACCTATGTGGGTTGTAATATTCATTAAAAGCATCTATTTGCACGATACTGCCTACTCTGCTAGAGAAACAAACAAACGCACCATCATCTTACCAAATTGGATAATTCGATTTCAGGGAGCAGCTCCTCTCGTCGGTCGGGATGCCTTCTCAAAAATGACCTGTTCCTTAGCTCTGTGTTTCTTCCCTCCTCGGTTTGCCGGAGAACAGAGAGGGGCAGAACACCCTCATGACCGTCACGGGATAGAGGCTCATGGATAAACGGGATAAACCCATTGAAGCAGAGTAATTACCGTGAAACCCCGCGGTCCTGAACGCAACATTATTATCCACACGTGGAACTACAGGCGTCATCTGCTGGCTTTTTATATGAGGGTGTCTCAGTCTGTGTGTGTGCTATTGTTGTTCCCACATACCCTAATCCATGAGTTACAGTCAATGTATAGCCACTCTGTAAATAATAGATTACAAAATTGGTCGGGGATAGCATGCTAAAGGTGCCTTGGAAATATTATGGTTGTATACAAAAAAAAAGTTCCATAAGAAATATCAGTTGATATAAGCTTCTTATCATAATCGTATAGCAAAGTAGAAACTCTATGAATATTTCAACTGGTGTATTATGAGGACATTACTAATAATGTGTGTAACATGTGAAACCACAAGATGTGTCTAGACGGTGTCATTAATTTACAAATAAGACCAAAACTTCTCATCAACATTTCTGTTGCTTTTTAAATGTGGTTAAATGTTTTCATGGATGTATCGCTGTAGGGTCACCAGTCAACAAACTACAACGATTTTCCTATATGGAGCAGTTTTGTGGTATTTAAATCAAATTAAAAATAAAAGTAATCTTTTAAGAAAGATGGGAGCTCAGGGTTGTGTCTTTGTTGTGAACAAGCAGGTTGATACAGAATAAATACCAAATGTGTTTTTAAACTGTGATTGGTGCAAATAAATGAACTATTTCATAGGAGGAAAGATTCAAGCACAAGCCCTGAAGGCATCCTTAATAGTCTTAGATAAGAGTCAAATGGTCCATTACGCTCTTTAATAACAAATAAAAGAAGACGCAAAGTATTATTTTTCAATGAATCACCCTATTGATCTTGAATAAAACTTAATCCAGATTAAAATTCAGAGTATAAATATTTGTTCGTACAGTGGATCATCTTCAATTAAACAAAACACTTTTTTCTTTTAAAGTTTGTTTGTTTATTTGTTTTCATCATCACACATTAACTGCAAAGATTTTTTCATCAGATTATCAAAATGGAAAGTGTGACAGTCTGAAAAGGGTTAACTGGAAGGTAGAACAACTCGGTTGACTATGCAAAATAACTTACTATTATCCCCACAAGAGGGAGACCAAAACCTGTTTATAAAATTCAGTCAGTTTTGTCTCAAGCTGTAATTACTATTTCAATGCTTATCAAGTAGGCCTACACGTTGGCCTACTAGATAGAATACATTTATGAATATTTCCAGCTGATTCCCTTTTTGCTATACCTCTACATCCCTGAACAGTTTGGATAGATGCAAGAAAGCCTGACTTTAGCCGCTTTGTGTAATGCTTGGTCAGTTGTTTTGTGGGCAGCAGTCAGCTGATGTTTATTGTGAGGATAAGCGTACATACTTCACTTCTCATTAGAAATTACAGGATTTAAAAAAAAAAGGGAACAGCATCTGACCAGAAAATAACATATAATGACACGCTCCCCCAGTTGGCGCAGTATAATTTGGCAAAGGACATTTAGTCGTGCTGGCCAAAACTTTAAAGCGTCAGATATAAACTTCACCAATATCAGAATCAGAATACCTTTATTAGTCCCACGGAGGGGACATTTGCGTAATTACAGCAGGAAAAAGAGCCACAGACAGCTTAATGTTACATGCATTAAAAAAAAGTACTAAGTTATGATATAATAAAAAAAATTTTTTTTTATTATTTTATATATAAAATATAATTATAATTATAATTATTAAATAATAATAAATACAAATAAAATAAAAAATAAAAGTTACATAATTTTCAAAATACACATCCTGTAACAGTTCTTAGGATTTAGCAGCCAAGTATATATTACACAGTTATTAACGGCATATAGATATTGCACATATAGCACATATTGCACATTATATGATACTAAACCTGAAAAAGACAATTTAATCAGAATTATAAATACTTGTATTGATCCCTGGGGGAAAAGTGGGTTAGGTTATAGTTAATCTCATTTTATAATATACATATATAAGCATTGAGAAATTAATAGATACATATGAATGAGAAATAGGTATATGTGCATATGACAATAACACAGTGTATATAATAATGCTAAAATAGGTCTATAATTGCTACCATGCAGGAGTGGTCTATAAAATACGTTGAAAAGTGCAGTATTAATACAATAATAATAACACATTTGAATTATTATTATTACATAGTGAATTTTTGTACACAACTATTGTACTTTTAAGTCAGTTGGGCAGAGTTGAAGGTCATGATGGGGTTATAGCTGCTGACTGGAAGGCACATCAATAACGGTATTTCATTATTTGACATGTATAATACTGTCTTAATACTTAATACTTTAATATTTGTTAACCATTTTAATAACATTAAATGGATCCAGGAGGTCCTTGCTGGCAGTTGTCAATGGTCACCAATGTTTATTAGCCTGGCTCCTCACCGGTTGAGGGAGTTATTCCCTTTACCGGTTCTTCCGGTCGGCATTTTGAGAGAGAGAGAGAGAGAGAGAGAGAGAGAGAGAGAGAGAAAGAGAGAGAGAGAAAGAGAGGAAGAGAGAGAGGTAGGGGGTAGACAATGTGGATCCCCCTTTTCTCTGTCCCTCGATTGTTTTCATTCCCGAAAATAAACTCGCAAACACAACACCCAGCGTCTGATAAACTAGTCATCTGAATTTGAGAGGATGCTACCCAGCTCCCAGCAGACATGCTCACCGTGAGAGAGAAGAGAAGCCCCCGGTCCTCCCGACAGGGATCACTGCCGTTGTGTTAGCTGTTAACCGAAGGAGCTGTTTGAACGGTGGGACGGAGAGGGAGCTAGAGACTCTTCTCCAGCTGCCATCCTACTCCTACTCCTGCTCCTCCCCCTCCCCCTCCTCCTCCTACACCACCAGAACCACTTCTCTTTCTCATCACATCCAGAGGTAAATAAGCCTGATTCAACAATAACAACCTCTACTCAGAGAAATCGTTCACCTTCCCCGAGTGTTTCCGGTTTGTCAGACACTCTCGGGCAGCCGTTGGTAACCGTTACCGGGATCAGCTAAAGGCGATCTGATTTGTGATGGGGTCTTTGCTTTGTACCCCTGCCTCCCTGGCGTCGGGTCGGGGTTACGCTTCCTAAGGCAAGTCCGAGGTCCACTTTGTGAGCTAGAGATGCGTCAGGGAAGGCCATAGTAAGTGTGAGGTGGAAATTTAAACCCATACACGACCTGCACGGTAAAGAAAAGAGCGATACAGAGTATGCTAACCGGGTTTGATGCACTCCCGGTGATGCTAGCTTAACGTTAAGCAAGTTACAGCACCTTTCCAGTTAGCATACGTTAGCTAACTACATCTCCAGTCGCTGCTAATCGGCTAACCCCGAGTTGATTTAGTCACTTTAATAAACTTAGCTATGATGCTAGTTCTCTTAGCAAGTGTCTACAATGCCAAGAAAATAAGAAATGAGTAATAATACCGTCATATGTGGGGATAAGATAAGCTAATGTTGCTGTTGTGTGTTTGGTCAGCCCCGGAAACCTTAACTGATACTGTAACAAAAGAAATAATTTTAGCCTAAACTACGAGGTTTTTTGAAATACGTTTGCTAGTAGACTTCATGTTTACGTCGATAAATAAAAACACAGACTAGCTGACGTTTTACGTTAGAGACAGAAAGAGTGAGACAGAATCGTTGTAACTTTTTTTATCCTTAATTCTACCAGATAGCTAGCTATGTTTGTCACCACTGCATTGCACGACATCTGTATGAGAGCTAATATTGTTGATTGTATGTTTCTTCAGTTATGTAATGTTTGACTTAAGTTGGAATATCACAGGTAAAAAAAAATACACACACTCAAGCTGTGTATGCAAAGTGGAAGAATGACCAGCAGGAGGGGACAAGATGGTTTGGCCATAAGAAGCTGCCTTTAATCAATAACCTGTAAGGCATGCCCAGGCTTGCTATAAGGCTTCTATAAACTGTCTACGTCAGAGATGCAGTTATGTTGGCAGTTTATTAATGCACACTCATAAGCTGACACATCCCTAAAAGAAGCACACTATAGCTATATGGGAACATATTAATTATCATACTCCTATCATGAACAGTGTTCATGATAGGAGGGTATCGCTGCAATAGCATCGATACCTTCATGGTAGTGAACATTCTTTAAAAGTGTGTGTTGCCATTTTTTTGTTTTGTCTCCGCAGCCTTTGGAGATGTGAGGAATAGAAAGAGATTGGTGATATTGAGCAGCCTGTGCATTGACACGACCTCTTGACCTCATCTTCAGCATGAATGGTGATATGCCTCATGTTCCCATCACTACTCTTGCTGGAATTGCTAGCCTGACAGACTGTAAGTGCAACATCATCTCTCACTAATGCTGTCCACACAGCCTAAATACTAACATTTTAACCAAGTTATGGCCAGGTTAAAGAATTCTTGACTGCCGAAATGTTACTATGTGAAGTCTTCTAGGGCTTCGAGTATAATGTGTAGTTATACTGGAAGCTAAATACTGGTAATTATGATGTTTTCACTACTGCTGATTTCAGGGCAGACAGGAGTGAAGTGGCTTATGTTCCTAAAAAAGGGAAGTTGTAGTCTTACAGACCTCAAACAAGTTTGATTTAAGAAAAATAGTAAAGCAACAATTATACAGATGACAAAGATATAATAATAATAATAATGCATTTTATTTATATAGTGCTTTTCACAACTCAAAGACGCTCATATATATCATTATATATCATAGCCCTTTCATATTTGATTGTAAAAATCGAACTTGTTAAATGTAGAGGTTGATGGACCTTTATTTCTTTAATTAACTTTCAATATAATGCTACCATATATTGATGGCTTTTTTATTACAAAGATAGACAGAACTTGTTTTAGCCGTATGTATTCTGAGGCCTTTAGTAAACGGATTAGAGATGTTAAAACCCCAGCATTGAATCCATTACTTTTTTATTTTAGCCTAAATATATCAAGCTTAAATAAGCATACCCAAAATGTACTTTCTTAAAAAAATAATTAAAGTGTATCATAGTCATTTGGCAATACTATCAAATAGTTGCATGGTCTACTAATACTTTTCCTAAACCTTTTTTCTTTGATATCTTTCCCATCTTTCTTTCTTTTTATTTCCAATTAACCTAACTAGTCTGTGTATCATCCTTTTAGTGTTGAACCAGCTGCCCTTGCCTTCTCCTCTCCCTGCCACCACCGCTAAGAGTCTGCTCTACAATGGAAGGATCTCCGAAGAGGTCAGCAACCTCCTGGTGTGCCGGGACGAGAATCTGGTGACTCAGCTGGCCCATAGCCTCAACCAGGTCTCCACTGAACACATGTAAGTGCCAATCCCTGATGTTTCACAACATCTTTTAATCATTTAAATTGAATAGACATAAGCTTGCCAGTAGCCACTACAGTAGGTTTGTAAAAGTGTGATTTACAAAATGGTTTACTAGTTAAATCACTAGTTTAACCTGCAAAGGGAATGTAAATTGAGACTGGAAGGAATCAGATTGCATTACTCAATACTCCATTTAGGCCTAGTGTGCAGCTATTTCCTGCAATATGACTGTGTGCTATACTATTGTTTGCTTTTCAGAGAGTTGAAGGACAACTTGGGGAATGATGAACCTGAGGGTGACATGCCAGCACTTCTGCAAACTCTGCTGTCCAGGAACCCCAAAATATTTGGGGACAAAAGTATGCCAAGTCATTACATTACTCAGTACTCTTGTTTTTTAATATAACTAGTTACAGCTAGGTACACACAAGGACTTCCTGTGTCAGATGCACTACTTTGGTGATTTTCTAACAACAGGGGCAGAAGTATTGCAAGAGAAAAAAATGTAAAGTGAAAATTAAGTTTTTATCATTCAATAGGAACAATTCTTATTTCTATGGCTGAACTAACTCTTAAAAATGTGTAATGGACGGAGATTAAATCCTTTTTTGGCCTCTGAGAATAAAGCATCTCATCCTGTCCCACTTAGTATAGTTAAAACAGCTTGTTAGATAAAGTTATTTCATTAGACATTTTAAGTAATAGTTGTTTAAGTAGAGCACTTGTCACACCATTTTTAGCAACACAAAAGTATTTACTAATACACCCATACACAGCTCTTAAAGACTTAGCTGTGTTTGTTTTGTCATCATAGATTAAATGACTAATTGCCATAAATAGTTGAACATTTCTCTTTTAACCTTTGTTCAGGGAAGCCTTCTAGTTTTATAAGCAGCTGCACTACTGCAATTACGGTTGATTATAATTGCATAGTTTTCATGCTCACTTTCATACTAAATCATTATTTGAAGAGAACAAATACAGAAAAGCTGTGTGCACAGTGTGAACTAAACAGCTTGTGTATGACTGAAATCTTGATTACTTTTGACAAATGTACACAGATTTACCAGTTGACTGTGTATACAGGTAATTGTTTTCCCAAACCATTTCTGCAACAAATCCTATATTTTACTTTCTTTAAAGCTTTAGTGTCATCCTGGCACTGACCTTGATTTAACTAAAGTAATTGATGACGCTGCACATGATGGGGGTGTTATGACATTGTTTGGTGTAGAGTACATAGGGTTTGGTTTAGTTATTTCACTTTTGATGTTGTAAAATCTGAGCTGCCATGTTTCAAGAAGTGTTTATGTTATCAAATATGTAACCCTATATTACTGAGTTGCTATTCCTGAGGTATGTTGGCGAGTTTTGTTGCTGTGGAATTGTGCATGTTCAGCTCATTGTTTGAACTAACGTTTTGTTTTAAATTCCTATCTCGTAGGTGTAATGCAACAGCCAATGGTGCAACAGTTTAAGATTTCTCAAAACCAGGTGCATGGGAGTCCAGGATCAAACTATCAGCAATCTCAGAGCCCAGCTGGGTAAGGCCTTGCCGGCATACAGTCAGATGATGAAGACGTAGAAGTATCTGTATTTATAACAAGAGTACTTCTTCCTCCTTTGCAGATGTTTTGCATCGCCACAGTCTGGATCAGGTGCTCGGTTCGTCCCCCAGCAGAACAGCCCTATACCCAGTCCCTACACCCCCCAGAGTCCTGCAGACTACATGCAGTACAATCCACCCAGTTATTCCCAACACCAACAGACCCAGCAAGGTAAGTACCAATACAATCAAGAACATTTTAATTAACTACCTGCCACACTTCGGCAATGGATAGCAAAAAGCAAACATTTAGATTTGAATGAACAACATAGAAAAACAGTTATTTATTTTATTTATTTAGTATAATTATTTGTATTCCAAGTCACGGTGGAAACAATTCAACAAGAAAAGTACTGTGCATTCCCATTTTGATTTACCACATTTATTCATTTTATACTTAAGCATTCTGCCTGAAACAGGAAGTGTTCTGCAAGAGACCACAGAACAAATAGTACTTAGTCAAGGTGTGGCTCTGATCACACATTTTTCCCCCAGTACATACCTTTTAAAATCCACCCACTATTCTTTAAAGGAAAACCCTTGTACAATTACACTGCCATTTCCTTAATATCTTTCATTTTTGTAAAGCACTTTGAATTTCCTTGTGTTGAAAGGTGCTATATAAATCAACTTGCCTTGCCTTGCACCAACTAGATGGTGTTTCTACTTTCGTCGTGTTCAAAATGCTTATACTGTAACTTTTCTCACATTTATTAAAAATGTGGTTTAAACCATGGTTTATTTATTAAACCATGGTTTCTGTGGTTCTTAAATTCAATTATCTAAAATTCAGGCACAAAGAAGTAAAATTGAGGTTTTCCAAGACGCTCAGAATTTACTTCAAATATGAATATAATGGTCTAACCCTCATTGCTCTTGAATTCAAAATCTGACCCTCTTTATCCCCCTTCCCAGTCTCTTTATCGTATACAGTGGGGCAAAAAAGTATTTAGTCAGCCACCAATTGTGTAAGTTCTCCCACTTAAAAAGATGAGAGAGGCCTGTAATTTTCATCCTAGGTATACCTCAACTATGAGAGACAAAATGAGAAAAAAAAATCCAGAAAATCACATTGTCTGATTTTTAAAGAATTTATTTGCAAATTATGGTGTAAAATAAGTATTTGGTCACCTACAAACAAACAAGATTTCTGGCTCTCACAGACCTGTAACTTCTTCTTTAAGAGCCTCCTCTGTCCTCCACTTGTTAACTGTATTAATGGCACCTGTTTGAACTCGTTATCAGTATAAAAGACACCTGTCCACAACCTCAAACAGTCACACTCCAAACTCCACTATGGCCAAGACCAAAGAGCTGTCAAAGGACACCAGAAACAAAATTGTAGACCTGCACCATTCTGGGAAGACTGAATCTGCAATAGGTAAGCAACTTGGTGTGAAGAAATCAACTGTGGGAGCAATTATTAGAAAATGGAAGACATACAAGACCACTGAGAATCTCCCTCGATCTGGGGCTCCATGCAAGATCTCACCCCGTGGGGTCAAAATGATCACAAGAACGGTGAGCAAAAATCCCAGAACCACACGGGGGGACCTAGTCAATGACCTGCAGAGAGCTGGGAACAAAGTAACAAAGGCTACAATCAGTAACACACTACGCCACCAGGGACTCAAATCCTGCAGTGCCAGACGTGTCCCCCTGCTTAAGCCAGTACATGTCCAGGCCCGTCTGAAGTTTGCTAGAGAGCATTTAGATGATCCAGAAGAGGATTGGGAGAATGTCATATGGTCAGATGAAACCAAAATAGAACTCTTTGGTAAAAACTCAACTAGACGTGTTTGTAGGAGAAAGAATGCTGAGTTGCATCCAAAGAACACCATACCTACTGTGAAACATGGGGGTGGAAACATCATGCTTTGGGGCTGTTTTTCTGCAAAGGGACCAGGACGACTGATCCGTGTAAAGGAAAGAATGAATGGGGCCATGTATCGTGAGATTTTGAGTGACAACCTTCTTCCATCAGCAAGGGCATTGAAGATGAAATGTGGCTGGGTCTTTCAGCATGACAATGATCCCAAACTCATCGCCCGGGCAACGAAGGAGCGGCTTCGTAAGAAGCATTTCAAGGTCCTGGAGTGGCCTAGCCAGTCTCCAGATCTCAACCCCATAGAAAATCTTTGGAGGGAGTTGAAAGTC